ATATATACTTTGACTACCATTTAAATACTGCAGATGAGATCAAATTTGACCACGTTTTGAAGGTAGATAATGAAGAGGTGTCGAAAGTGGAATTTGCACTTGATGTTACGAATCAGAAAGCTCATTTCGACATGACTGTCCACATCAGTGAAATTCAGGCATCACTCCATGTCAAGATGGAATCATACAATACTCTTGATTTCCTCTTCAAGTACGAAGGAAATGACAATGGACAAGCTTTTGAGAAGCACTTCAAGGCTAATATTTCTGGCACCGGTGATCTACCACAAACTGGTAAAGTGGACATAAGCATCGAAAACACTTTCCGTGAAACACCAAGGATTATTACTGTGCATGTTGATATGGACCGTTCTGCAGATCCCAAGAAACTGAAAATCGAAGTGACACCTGAACCCAATCACCTCTATGTTTTCGATATAAATTATAATGCTGATCTACAAAATCCAAAGCATGGGGACTTTACCTTAGATATAACAACGCCTACAAAGATGGCAAGCCCTTGGCAACATTTGTCTGGCAAATGGAATATTGAAAATCAAGATGAAATAGAACTTACTTTCAAACTTGGTGAAATCACTTACACTGCAACAGGCAAACTAACTCTAAAGGAATCAAATATTGTGGTCACATCCTCAAACTCTGAGGAAAACTTCATCCTGGAATGGCACTTTGAGACCGCTGATTCTAGTGTAGAGTATTTTGCAAAGCTTGGGAAAGAGTCAGATTATTCACTGCTGAAACTCAAAGGAACCAAAACAGCCCCTGGGCATGCAAATATTGAAGGATCTTTTAAGGCTGGGTCTCTCATGGCCAATGAATTCATATTTACAACAGAAGCACACACAGAGAACGGCAAATATACAAGCAAAGGGACATTTACCTATGGAGATAAATCAGGCAATTATCACATTGATGATCTTCACTACGACAGTGCAACAAAATCAGCTGCTTTTGAAGGAAAATTTAATTCAAATATCTCTGGATTGGAAGTAATTGCCATTTCAAGTAAATATGACTTCGATCACAAATTTGTCATTCATGGAAGTGCAACATTCAATGATGCTGAATCGAAGCTTGATATAAATATTGCAGAGCTTTACCCAGAATCTTCACACAACTCAATTGAACTGAACATACCAGTGTTTGGCCCAGACTACAGGCATACTCAGTTCACATTTGGCCATGACTTCAGTAATGACAGAACTAAGTCCCTAACTGCAGTTGCAAAGTTTGGCCAGAATGAGTCACACATGAAGGTTAGCTGGAACCATAGTGAAAACCTTGACATTGTTGAAGGATCAGTTGAAATTAAGTCATTCTTTGGAGAGATAAACATTTCTGCTAGTTTTGATCTTAGCAACCATGAGGACATGCATGCAGAATTAAAATATTTGAGAGCGCATGATAGTCAGAACCATCGCATTCATGTCAAGTGGTCATGGAAAACAACCACTGAACATTTTGAAAGTGATATTACGGCAGATTCGTCTTTCAACATCCTGAACCATGCACGAGTTTATGCAACAGCTGATTACAGTGATAATGTTCATCTAGTCTGTGGACTTGAGTGGAATGACAAGAAAATCGAGTTTGTTAATGATATCACTAAAAATGGATTTTCAGTGACAATCAATTCACCATTTGAGCATTTTGAGTTGATTGAATTAAAAGTAAATTACGATCTAGCAAGTGAAACAAAGAAAATTGACCTCGCATACAAACGTGGAGACAATGAGGTTAACATGGAAACTGTATTCAATGTAGTAAGTGAAACAGAAGCAACACTAGACTTCAAGCTTACAACACCATTGGAAGTAATAAAACTCGTCCATATAGTTGCAAGCATTAATGCACAGAAAGCCCATGTTGAATTCCAAAGGAACGATGACAAGTATTCCTTGGATGGTGATGTTGACTTCAAAGCAGACAAATCCTCTGTTGACATGACTTTCACTTCTCCCGAAGGTCAAGTAATTAAGGTGGCCGCATCTTACGACATGGAAGACTTCATTGCAGCAACTGGAACAGCAGCACACAAACTTGCCAGTCTCGAACTCCATTTCGAAGAACATGCTGTAAACTTCAACTTTAATGGTTACCGTAATTCTGACAGACTGTATGTTGACATTCAGGGTGACTCCACCTTCGAATTGGTCAAGAAGACTCATCTGAAAATTGACACTGCTTTGCACACAGAATCACATGATAGCAATATTGAAATGCAGGTAAATGATTTTGAGTTTTCAATGAAAAATCATTTTGAGAAAGAAGATGATGAGCATTTTAAATTCAAAGTCCAGTTGGTAAGCACACTTACACCATTGCCTGAATTAGTCCTTGGATTTGGACGGAAAGAGTCAGAGTACTTTGTAACAGTTGGATATGGTGGCGACAAGGAAATTACATTCTCCATTGAGGGCAAAGATGGTTATAAATCAGGATTCAGTGGAAAGATCGATCTCCCCGTGCTAGGAGTTTCAGAAATGGAGTATGAAGTTGAATATGGATTTGAAAACGATAACGAACTACATATGGATATTGAATTTGAATTTGGTGATGACCGTGAAATCGAAGCTAAATTTGTCTATGACTCTGAAGGTATACAAGCTCGCTTCAACTCTCTCCTGACTGGGGATCACAGCATACGTGTTCGTCGATCCATCTCGGCACAAGAATTTTCTACCGAGGTTGCTCTTGATGATTACAGCCTAAAACTTCGCGGAGGATTCAGCAACGAAGACACAAAATATGGAGCCCTTGTAGAAGGAGAAGTATTTGGACAAAGATTCCTGTTTGACAGCCTGTTCCAGTCTGAAGGAGCACATTATTCTGAAGGCAGACTGATTATCCTCACTCCTTTCCAAGTCTTGAACAAGATCGGCGGACTTTTCACCTGGTCCAATGTGAACAACAAAATTGAAGGTCACACAGAAATATACCTTCCCTCTTATACGACACCAAAATTCATTGGGGAAATCAGACTTGACCTGAATGAAAAGATTAAGGGTCATGTCTTGTTTGACTTAGCTGGCCAAGAATTTATATTCAAAACTGATTTAGTTGGCTCGTCATTTGAACAGGGATATGAAGGAAATGTTGAGATCTTCACGCCATTCCATGCTCTTTCTCATGCTTCATTATCAGGAAACTTCAAGATCAATGGCTTTAGTTCCTTAGAGAGTGACGTAAAACTTACTACACCATTTGCTACCCATGAATTTGTTGCAAAATACACCTTTGTTTCCAATAAAGTGTCCGTAGACTTCAACCTGAAGTCTGAAACACTTGCCCATGAGATCCACACTCAGTTTACTCTTGAGGGCTTCGGCACAGACCATAAGAAAATCAGTGCATCCATCAATGAGAACCAAGTGTCGCTTGAAGTTGAACACTCTTTGCCAACGAACTTGGTAGGAAAGCTCATTGTTACATTCCAGGGGCAAGTACACACACTAAGTGGCAAGGTTATTATCATGGATAACCACATCCAGACCGAGCTAGAAGTGGAATCTGGATTCTTTAATGGAAACCGAGGCATCAAGATCGATGTTCATGTATTAGATCCTAATTATAGGCATTTTTCATTAGATGTGGCTCTCACAACCTCAGAAACACACGCCATCCATTTTGAGCTGGATGTGAAGACAGGATTCCATGCCACAGTCAAGATTGACACACCTCTCTTCCCTAAGACTACAGCCACTTTCAACCTTGCACCTGCAAACGTTGAGCTCATCATTAACACTCCTACAGGAGTACACAAAGTTAAGCTTAACTGGCGAATGACATATAGGATGCCTGCTGATTACTTGATTCATTTGGAAGTAAGTTCTCCGCTTTTCCCAGTGGAGTACGTTGCAAATGTGGCCTTTGTTGGAGACTGGTCTAATATGCAAGTCAAGGTCGAGCTTCAAGAGGGATCAGCTACTCATTTATTTGAGGGATCCATCACATCATCAAAGACTAAAGGCCATATCTCTTTCACCATCATGACACCTTTCAAAGGATTCAACAAAGTCGCTTTTGAAACATCCCTTGACTTCTCTGACGACGTGGAGTTGAACGTAATAATGTCTCATGGTGAAGTGTTCAACACTCTGGATGTCATCCTTAATAAGAATGACAGAAGTTTTACTGCTGAGGCCAAGACTCCATACTTACCAGGTGGACAGGCCTCTGCCGAAGCTAAACTTACAGGAAATGTCAACAAAAACATGCAGATTAAGATGGCCCTGAAGACTGGTGAGCATGCCATCTCAGGAACCTTAAACGTTAAAGTTAACTCTGTCAAGGACATTGAGGCAAACATGAAGATCATCACGCCATTCAAAGGCTACAAGAAAATGACCTTCCATGCTTTCTACACTGAGGACGACATGAAACACATTTTGGTGTACTCAAATAAGCCTCTTAACTACAGAGTTGAACTTCACTTCGGTGATTCAAACAATACAATGAAAGGTGAACTGACCCTCGTAACACCATTTACGAACTTCGAAAACATCAAAGCTAAGCTGGAGGTTCCCCTGAACACGTTTGCCCCAAGCATAGCCGCCAACGTGTATGTAGATGGCGATTCCTACGGTGGCAATTTCGGTCTCAGGACGAAAGCTCCCTACGAACTGACAGCAGGTTACCACGTAGCTGAACTTCCCAGTGCGAAGTTCCACATTAGAATAGATTCATCTTTCATCTCTTTGTTTGCTTAACTTATTTCGTCTCTGCCATCTGTATATGATGTGATATTTATTTAACAAAGGCATATCACCGTTTTGTTTTGTTTTTCAAATGCAAACGTTTAAACCCATGTTATTCTTGTAAATGAATAAAGGACTCAGCATTTAAAA